GTAGACCACTGCCACTGCGACTCTGCTATCACCACTAACACCACGACGGATGGCGATGGCGACGGTGCGGCGCCATGCGGTGTGGGCCCTGGCGGTGCTTGCGCTGCTGTGCGGCTGCTGCTCCTCCGTGTGGGGGGTGAAGGCGACGGTTACGGTGGGAAAAACTCCTCCAACGCTTAACTCTCAACTTTCTGTGCTGCAGCACAAATGGCAGCCGGCGAATGTGTCGGTAGAGGTGTCGTGCGCGGATGCAAATGAGGTGTTGCATTGGCGCTTTCCTGCCAATGAGAGTTGGGAGAGTTGTACAACTGCGGTGGAAAAACTTGGCTACACTTTTGTTGGGGAGGCTGCTGAAGCGCAGAGTTATTCAGCCATTGAGGACGTTGTTGTGGTGGATGTGTCTCAGTATGGGGGCGATGCTGGTGTCGGTGAGTCCATCTGCCTCTCGGCCGCGTCGCTGTACATGAGCAAGAAATGTAAGGCAAAGTGCGGCGCAGTCACAGACACGGCATCGAAGCAGACGGCGTTCACGATGGAATTTCCTACGCACGTCGGCAGCGGAGTGCACAAAAAGTGGGAGGAAGCACGCAAGGTCCCCGGCAGCGCGTCTCCCCCTCTTGATGGTGCAGGAACCGGTCTGCTTGGCAAGTCGGGTGTTTGCCCCTTAACAGACGCCGTCGAAAAACCAGCTGCAAAGGCTGACATTGCGCCTGAACACAGCGCGTCACCACCTGCTGCAGAAGAACCCGCAGCCTTACCGGTCGATGCCGCAGCTTCGTCCAAAGCCACAGCCGGCTCAGAGGAGAGCGCGGCACATCGACCCAGTGAAACGCAAACACCTTCAACCTCTGCACCGCCATCGAAGACACCCCCTTCCACCCCTTCCACCCCTCCCGCCCCTCCCGCCCCTCCCGCCGACGGCGCAGATGGAGGCACGACGACAACGACTACCAGCAGTCCTGTTGCGGGGAAACACACAAAAAGCAAGGCAGACGGCAGCGATACCACTCTTTTCATGATGCGCACACCTGTACTGCTGTTGCTGCTGCTCATGGCTGCCGTTGCCTGCGCTGCTGGGCAGTGGTGAGTGGTAACCACACACAGAGACACACGCTGGCAGGGCCGACGCAGACTATTTGTGCGCTCAGTTTGCTTGTCGTTCCTGTGGACCAACGCTTTTTTTTGTGCTTTGAGAAATGCTTTTTAAAAACACTTTTTGCTACTTTTTTTTTTTGCTTTGCCACTTCATGCGCACTCCTTGTGGGTGGAGTCCCTTCCCCCTCCTGTTTGCCGATGCCATCAACACACGCACGCGGTGCCGGCCTCGTGGCTGTGCGTCGCACGGACTGCCCAAACGAGACACGAGGCTGCGGAGACCGTGAGGGGCGAATGTGAGGTGTGCGTGTGACTGTGCCACTGACAGTCTTTTCTTTTTGATATTTGCGGGCAGTAAATATACGAACACACACCGTCCTTTTGGGCTGCTGGAGACGTGAGGTAAAAACACATGCCACATCAATTTCTTTTTCCATTTTTTTCTTGATTGCTGATATTTTTACTGGGCGTCATTTTCTTTTTTTTTTGCTTGGTAAATCACTGCGGCTCACTTTTAGTTTGTGCCCTGTCCGCTACCGTCGCTGCGTCTCTCCGTATCCTGCTGGCTGTGCGGCTGACATGCCCCATTCTTCTTCCTGCTAGAGGCACCGGTAGTCCACGAGGAGGATTCTTTTATTTCTTCGTCGCGATGGCACGGGAGTGACGGGGCGTCCGGCGGCTGCTTTGAAGGCGCCCGCTGCGGAGGGAGAGAATGGGCGGGGTGTGCGGCGTGTCTCGCTGCGAGTGTGTGGGGCACCACCCATCGCAGCCTGCCGTGCGGTGTGATGCGGATGGGTGAGGGCAAATATGCAGCAGCGGCAGAGTGTGCGGTGGACGTGGATCCGCCCCGTCCTTCGCGCCGAGGCTGTGCGGTTGGCGTGGCTCGCTTGTGGGGCGTTGTGCTTCGTCTGCGCCGCTTGCTGCGGCGAAGAAGGGGCGGCATGCGGCGAGGCAAGGCGTGCAGCGATGACGGGTGACGGCTTCAGACGCCACTGCCACCGTGGATTGCCGTGTGTGTTGGTGTGTGGGCGGCGTCAGCCACTGTTTCTCTCTTTTTCTGTGTGGTTGGGAATGCGGCCCTGTGGGGGGAGTTTTTGTTTTACACCGTCTGAGGGTTATTTTTTTTGGCGGCTGCGTCCTTCAGGAGCGGTGCCCGGTGCTCCCTTGTGGCTTTTCCGCGCCGTGCGCAGGCGTCTCCCACGCTGGCGGGCACAACCGTCCTCTTCCTGGCGTGTGTGTGTGTCACTCTCACCCTCCTTTCTCTCTCTCTCGCTCTCTCTGCCCCTTGCTAGACTGTGTGTGTGTGCTGCGGTGACAAGAGTGGGGATGGCTGGCCGTGTGCTGTTGGTGTGTGCCCTCTGCGTGTTGTGCTGCGCCGGCGGCGGTGCCGGTGCGTGGGGCGGCGGCTACTGCACGGATAGTGACTGGAGGGGCTTGAGGGCCGTCGCGAAGGACATGACGGAGGCGGAGATTGAGGGAAAGTACTGCAGCCGCAAGCCAGAGTTTGCGCAGGGGCTGCGGGTGATTCCGCAGGCTGTTGGTGGTGAAGGTCTTTCTACAGGCACCGGCGCGAGTGGTCCGAGCAGCGGCGAAGGAGACAATTTTCATACCGAGGAAGGACTGCAGCGTACAGGCAACCAAAATCTGTCCAGTGATGCAAGTGGGAGTAGCCGATTGG